AAAATTACTTTAAAAAAAAAAAAAAAAAAAAAATATGTATTTCATAGAAAATGTAATAGAATTTAAATAATTTTCCAAATTCCTCTTAAAAAATTTACATAGTATTTAAGAAAGAAAAAAAAAAAAAAGCCGTTACAATTTTATTATTTTTAGTCATATAATATTTTAAAATTATTATTGTAATATATTAATTTAATAAATTATTTACACATATATCATTTTTATTAATAATATATATATATATATAATTATACATTTAGGTAAAAGAATTTTAACACAAAAATAATTTTTGATTCTTTTTATTTTTCTAATATTTTCAATTTTTCATTATTTCACAAAATTCTATTTTTTTTTAATTTTTTTTTTATTGTTATCATGCACAAAAGTTTAGCTTATTAGAATAAAAGAGAAGCAAAAAAAAAAAAAAAAAAAAAGAAATATAAGAGGTAATTAATTTTTTTTTTTTTTTATTTTATTTTTACTTTTTTTATCTAAACTTCTCACATAAACAAAGATGTAATATAAATTAAATGTGTTATAGTTTATTATGGATGATTTATCTGAAGAGATTAAAAATATTTTTATTTTATATATGTTTTGAAAATTGGATTTATTTGTATTTAAATTGAAAGGTATTTCACTTTTACACTTAAAATTTAGAACAACTAACTGATAATATCCATTTAAATTTAATGTAGCTTCATTTAAATATTTTTCTTCAATATTTAAATCTTTAAATTTATTTTTATATTTAAAAATTTTTTCATCAGTAACTATATCTATAATATATTCAATATTATTATTCAACGTCAATTCAAAAATATTTTTTAATAATGTCCAATCAATAATATTCTTGAAGTTTTCAAATTTTAAATTTTCTTTTAAATCCTTTATATCTTCTTTTACATTATTCTTGATATCATATTTTACTTGAGTCTTTATGTCAGTTTTTTTTTTTTTAAGGAGAATTTTTTTTTTTTTTTCTAATGCATAAAAATTATGATGTTCACTAATGTGTAAATCTTCAGATTTTGAATCAATCAATATATTATTTTTAATTTTATCTATTTTATTAATAATATTACTTTTATACAATTGAATGAACATATTTTTGTATAATATTTGTTCATTAGCATTATTAGAAAATTTATTATTATAAAAAAAACCTTTAAAAACTAAATTATCATAAGTAATATAATTAAAAATATCAAAGAAATTTTCTTTTTCATTTTCATTTAAAATTTTCTTTATTTTATTTATTCTGTTTTTTTTTTTAATATGTAATTTCATATTTTTATAAATGTCCTTTTCAATTTTGTCTATTAAGTTATCTCTATTGTTATTTTCTTTATAATGTGTTTCCTTCATCATTATTTCCAATTTTTCGTAGACATTTTGGAATAATAATTTTCTTTTTAAATTATCATCTCCTGTAGAATCGTTAATATCACAACTAATTTTATCTTTTTGTAAATTTATTTTTTCACTTTTTTTCTCATTTACACCATTTATTTTTTCTATACCTGATTCTTTTACTTTTTCTTTATTCCTATTTTTTTCGTTTTCGTTTTCGTTCTCGTTTTCTTTTTCCTTTTCCTTTTCCTTTTCCTTTTTATTTTCCTTTTCCTTTTCATTTTCCTTTTCATTTATTATGTCTCTTTCAAATAAATAATCAAATAAAACGTTATAAGAAAAAAGACAATTTTTTTTAGAGTAATTAGTTTTGTTTACAGATTCAATAAAAAATATATAACCATATCCATTCATTAAATTATTCACGAAATAACCAACATATAAAAAAGGATAGAAATAATATAAAGAAAAACCATTAAACATATTATTATCAAATTCTCCTATATATATATTTATTTCTTTTAAAGGCAAATATAATAAATTTTTGAAATTTTCTATATTTTCACTCTTTCCTTCTTTTAAAATCATTTCATGTATATTCATATAAAAAAATAAATTATGAATATTTTTATACTTTACCCATATACCTTTTCTGTACATATTATTTTCAAAAAATCCAACAAAAATTTCATTTTTCTTAATATATTTTCCATTTCCATGAAAAATTATATTATTATCATTTATATTATCATTGTTATCATTTTTTTCTTTATCATTTTCTTCACTTTTCTTATTTGATTTATTTAAATTTTTTTCATCATATATATTTTTTGAAATTTCTTTTCGTAAATCAATTTTCTTTTTATTAATTTCATCTTTACTTTTTTCTAAATCATCTTCTTTTTTTACTTCATTCAGTTGAATGTATTCACCGACATACAAATTGCAGTCTTTGTAGAAAAAACCACTCATTACCTCTTCACACATTTATTTTTGAAAAGTTAAAAAAAAAAAAAAAAAAAAAATTATTTTTAAGAAATTTTCTATTATTATTATAATAAGTTTATATTCTTTTATTCTTAAAGAGTTTCTAATATTTTCTAACTTTTTAATTGGAATAGATATATGTATATCAATAACTCTTTATTTTACTTTTATTTTTTGAAGAAAATATGAAAAAACTAAATTTTCTATTTTATAATAGAGATTTAATATAAGAAAAAATAAAAGACAAGAAAAAGAAAAAAAAAATAAAGACCTATATAAAAGTATAATAATGCTAAACATTTTATTAAATAATTTATAATATATGAGATATTTTCATTAATAGAAAAATATTATACGATAGGAAAGAACAAAAACATTATTAAATTATGTATGGAACTATTTCAAATATATTAATATATTTAGCTGAATTTAATAATTATAAATCTATCATATTATAATTACACTCATTTGAAAAGTATTTCCTTCTTTTTTTTTACCATTTTTAATTTTATGCTTCATTTATTTCATTATTACAATAAATACATAGCTGTTTTTATTTTTAAATATACAATTAGTTTTCTTTTTTTTTTTTTAAAAATTAATTACAAGAATTTATCGTTTTAAAAAACATATATATATATATATTGAATATAATGTCTATTAATGCATTTATATAAATAAAATACATTTAAATATATAATTTTCCAAATGAATAACATGTAGAAAAATATGAAAAAGTTAATGAAAAAAAAAACAACAAAAAATATATATTAAAAAATTAAATGAAATAAGAAAAATAGATAAAAAAAAAAAAAAAAGAAATTATAATAAAATTTTATTTCTATATAAACGTATAAGCTTTTTTATCCATAGGATGTATATTCATATGCATTTTTCTATTTTAACACTGTCCTAATAAAAAATTACTATAAATATCAAATTTTACATTACTTTTATTTAAGTCTCGTATATCAATTTCCTTTTATTTTTTACTTTTTTTTTTTTGATATCCCTCAAATGTGATATACATAATATTCATATAAATATTAAATTAAAATTATTCTTAACTATAGTTTTCATTATATATTATGATAAATAAAAAAAAAAAGAGGAAAAACAAAAATATTAAATTACAAATAATTTACAAAAATAACCTTTAAGTTTGCACATTTTGGCATTTTTAAACAATTTAAAATTATTTGATAGAACAAAAAAAGAAAAAAAAATTTTGTAACTTTTTTTAAAATCTTAAAAATTATGCAATCTATAATTTTTTTTTTTTTTTTTAACTTGTTAAATTAATATAGTTTAAAATTATTTATTTATAGTAAAAAGATATGTTATATTTTTTTTTAATTCATATTCTATGTTTTCTTTTGTATCTTCATCATAAACCTTTAAAACCTATAAAAGTAAGAATAATAAAAAAAAAAAAAAAAGATAAAATGAATAAATAAATATGTATGTGAAATTATTTATAGCTCTTATATAAATTTTTTTTTTTTTTTTTTTGTTTACATTTAATTTGTGAGATAAAATATTCGATTTAGCTTCAACAGAAAAAGGAAATATACTTTCAGGTTTTGATTGAATAGAAATTTCTATTTGACAATTTTGATTATTCTTTAATGTATCAACTCTCCATGCTAATAAAATGCCATCATGTTCAATTACTCCTTTATCTTTACTAATAATTTGTGGATTACTAGAAGATGGACACATTATATTAACATTTAAGTCATATATAATTTCATCATTGTTTTTTCTTTTATTTTCAATTTCTAAATTTAATAATGTTGTTTCATTATCTTCACATGGCCAACAACTTATATTCAGAGGTATATAAGAATCATTTAAATAATTTATCTTCCACTTTAGCAATGGATATATAGTGTTAGTACGAAAATTTTTACTTTTATCTTTTAGCTCTAGAATATTAGAATTATATTTATTTTTATCTAAAATTGGGTGAATTTTAGCTTTTTCTGAATAGTCATTTTCTAATTCCATTATAACTTTCGAATACTTATGATTATTTATTTGCATATTAAAAGTACCTTGAATATCCAAATCACACAATGTTCCTTCAGAACTTAATGTACATATTACATTTTCAGTTATAACTATATTAATTGGTTTAGAAAAAAGAGAATTTACATTTATAGTTGGTTTACTTTCTGTTTTAATATCAACAACATTTAATATTTTAACATTCTCTTTTTTAGTAGATAACTGCATTCCTTTATAAGTATTAAAACTTTCATCTATTATATATTGTTCTTCACTTTTATATATATCTATATTACTATTATAATCTAAATTAGTAATATATTCATTTGAAGGAAAACTATTGGTAGTAACTTTATTTTGCTTTTGCCTATTTTTCTCCAATTTTGAAGCTATAAATTTTCTTCTTTCTTTTTCTTCTTTTTCTTTATTTTCTCTAATTATTGTTTGTAATTTTTCTTCGTGAGATTCCATTTCAATATATGCTTTTATCTGATTACTATTTACGATTTCTCTAACTCCATTTTTAATTAACTCATCGATATAAAAAATTATAGTAAAACATTTTTTTAGAATTGTACTTTCATTAATATTTCCTTGACATATATCTTGTATTATTTGACTCAACACTTTTATTATTTCTAAATCTTCTATTATATTAGAATTTATATTTGTTATTAAAAATATATATATGCTATCTAATGGTTGATATACATATCTCACTTTATCTGTCTCTATATAAGTATGATCACTCCTTTCTCTTTCAATTAGATTATGAAATGGAATAGTTAAAGAATCTAAATCACATTTACTAATATTTCTAAACTGTCGAGATACAAGTATCTTGCTTTTTGTACTAATTACTGCGCTTAGAACTGTCATTTTTTTTTTTTTTTTTTTTTTTTTTTTTTATTATTTAATAAAAAAAAAAAAAAAAAAAAAAAT